GAGGGTAAATGTTCAATTGTGGTTTTATCAGCTGACAATCAAGTGCTGTTTTCTCCTCACATTGTTTCTGGCCACATTAATCTAACACCTGGCCTGCAGTGAGCTCCTAGCAAGGATCTCAACTCTTCCAGCAAGTTCTTACTAGAAAAGTGGGACCAGAATCACCTATAGCAGCGCAGGGTGGGACCTGTCTAGTCTTTGCAGCCATACAGTCGATTTGGGGCTGCCCACTGAAGTCTGTGGAATTAAATCAGGTTGTACGTAGCACTGGTTTCCCACTGAAGTGGAAAGGGTGTTACAGTGTCCATTGTGAAACTAATAAAACCGTTTTTAAAGTCACTGCTAAATTTTGAGGATGCCTCTTCCTGAGGCAATGGATGTTCAGGGGCTCCAAGCAACAGTTAGTTGCAATTATGCCTTTTTCTTTAACATTGATCAACCCCAGGTTTTAGCAGTCTGTAACTGGTCTGTAACACAGTCCATACAGCTGCCTGCATGGACCTGGGGACCAGACTGGAACTTCTGTAGCACAAGCAGTGCTTATAGGTACGCTTCTCTGTGAGGTGCTTATGTTATTCTGCTTCTCCCTTTAGAGAGCTGCCAAACTACAGTCCAGGAATGTGGATGCCCTCCTTTTCTCTCCCCTTTACCCACATAGTTTGATGGCCTGGATAAAGCAGCCATAGGAGTCTCTCTAGACTAGCTCCTTTCTTCCTTTTTTTCTTTTTGCATACTGGTGCCCAGACACCAGAGCCTTCCACAGCACATCTCACAGGCACTGTACCAGTTGTGTTTGCTCTGTAGCAAAATGTCTCTGTATCGTGGGCTTTATTCTCTCAGCTGTGTAATCGGTGCTGCCAGATGATACCACAAACTAGTTGGAGTCTGTCTTTTCTAGAGAAGACATTCACAAGTGCTTATCAGCTGCCCCCTTCTTTACCTCTTATGGGAAAAATATCTCTGGAAGGGTGAAGTTCTGCTCCCACAGTATGTACTAGTAAAACTCCTCTTGCCTTGGGGAAAGGGAGGGGGGAGAAAATAAGTGTTTCTACAGCCTGGAATGAGCCTTACTTGCAAAAGAAACAATTTTTGCCACCTTGGTGCACAGGAATGGGATCTCTGAGGGCAACTGCACCTTTGTTGTTCTGCATGGCTAGTACACTGCTTATGGGCCCTCAGATCAAGGAACAAGAGGAAGGGATAAGGGTCAGAGGTCTGTTCGTGTTGGAGAAGGGAATCGGTTCCCCATTTTGTTTCTGCAGTTTGGGTCCAGATCATGGGAGTTTGTATGCATCATTCGGGTCAGGAGCTGGCCAGTGAGTTTCATAGCAGTGAAGATTGTCTCCCTGGGGAGCAGCAGACAAGCAGGAGAGCGAGGAGCTAGGAGAGTATTAACAGAAGCATGGTTAACACGTAAGGAGGACATTCCTTTCCTCACCTATTGTGAAGCCTTTCTGATTACAGATGCCTTTAAACCAGGGGTGAGCAGAAGTGGGAGATCTCCTGGAAGCTGTAGAAAAACTGAAAATTTTGGTAGAAAACTTCAATCACAACAAAACCCAGATTATTTTGCCTATAATTTACCAGAGTATAGTAAGCACTGAGTGACTTTTATTTTTGGTTTCTCAGTCGAAAGCTACTTCATGCCCATCAGTTTCTCCCCAGGAAAGGTTTCTGTGCCTGCCAGTAATGTGCTCTGGGGTGAAGCGGCAAGCTACAAGTTCAAGGGCCACCTGTCTCTTCATCAGCCTGACCCTGGCCAACATATCTTTGCCTCTGCTCAGGAGCAGGAGGGAGCTGAACAGGTAATCCAGGCGCCCTTCTTTGGTCTTTTGTCCATAGATGAACATAGTTTACATGAACTGTTTGCAAATGTCTCTGAGGTTGAGCTTATGACTTGTTCTTCTAAACTGTTGTTCATCTTTCTGACTTCCATTCTGTGTCCCCGTGCCCTGCCTGAGCAAGTCTACAAGCAGCCCTGGGGATCAGAACGGCCAGACTTTAAAGCAGTACTAGATTTATTGTGGGTGAGGAAATGAAACCCTCTCACATTTGTGCTCATCACAGCTGAGATCTCTCCCCATACGTAGAGCAGGTTGTACATAGAGCCTGTTTGCTAAGAATCTATCAACTCATGGAGTCAGGAGCAGCACAAAGGGTATAAGACTTTTTTTTTTTTTTTTTTTTTTTTATGACTAAAGTTATACTGTGAAAACTTGTTATGTTTTTATAGACTATCAGGAAACCCAGTTATGTTGTTTTCTAATGCACCACAGTGCTGCAGCACCAGAGAGCTAATAGCAAACAGGCTTTTCTTTTACCTCCAGATGTCCTCGAAGCTGCTGGCTTATGTCGGAGATGTAATATTCTCCATCCTGCTCATTTGTGGTTCCAACTTGTCACAGTCAGCATGTGTTCCTGAAGGACCCGTCCACAGAGGGACTGGTTTTAGTCATGGTTTTGGGTTTATTGCAGCTGCTGCCAGGATTTTACATCAGTTGGATAAAATGTAAATCTATTGAACCTTACAGATGTGCAGCGTTAAAGCAAAAGGCAAGGACTGTTACCAGTGTACAGGTTTGAACAGTGCACATTAGAGGAAGCTATTCAATACTTGTGTCCTTGAGTGAGGACACAATACCTGGGGGGAAAAAAAAAGTGCCGTTTCTGTGCTGGACTTCCCGTTTAGTAAGTATATTGCAGCACTGGTCCAGTGAGGGTGGGTGTAGGGAGTAGTAGTGCAGACTGGGAGAGCCTGGAGTGCTGGTTGTACAGCTCCTTCAGGGACACCTCCCAGCGGCACAGTGATAGCACAGGTGGGGTCCAGCCCGGAGCCTCTTGCTGATCCCTCATCCCAGACGAGAGACAGGAGAAGTGGCTCAGACAGCCATGGGGAGGAAGAAGGAGGAGGAGAACCAGGTAGATCAAGGTCCATGGGGCTTGCAAATTGCACCTTTTATTCCTTAGATGCTTGGAGACAGGTAGACGTTAATTTTGCACACATTGGTAATAATATAGGAATGGGGTGTGTGTGTGTGTTTACCAGAAACAGTCTCTCAGTGAGGTGTAGAGGAGTCGTAAAACTGCAGAGTTCTTAAGACAACATCTTATGTCACTTTTTCCCCATCAGTTGATGAGGAATCTTAGCACTTATGTGGCATATTGTGATTCTTCCTACTGCTACAGGATCAAGTAGTGAAGTATTGTATCAGTGGGGAAGGGGGAGGCCAGAGAAATTATTGTTGTCTGAGGTTGCTGGACTAGAAATGAAGCTCAGGGATTCTGTGTCCCAAGACGTTGCTCCCTCTGATGGATTGTACTGCCCGTATGTTTTACGTCAGATAGATCAATTTGAACTGGGGTATGACGGATGGGAATCTGACATGTTTAGAGCTGGTATTGAAATAACAGCTATCTGCTGACCTCACAAGACAGCTGCTGTTTTGTGCCAATATTTAGTCTCACAGGATCGTGAGTAGGACTTTCACACATACTTTAGCGAGTGAAGAGCTCAAAGTCTATCTGTTTACATAGATTCAAGCTCAGCTCAATTGCTTTGGAAACCCCATCCACTGGCTTTACCCAAAGTGCAAGTGGCGGATATGGATGCAGTTCAACACCAGCAACCTCTGGAGGTAAACTGGGATCTAGAGAACAAAGGCCAGCACCTCTGGGGTTTTAGGCTCTTTGAATTTTGCTGCTGTTCTGCTTGTTTTATAGTGGTGGCTGCTCTACACTGCTCTGTGATACAACTCAAAAATTCCTTCTGCAGTCAGTGATGGTGAGAGCTGGTTATAAAGGAAAACAGTGCATTTTGCAGCTCTGTAAAGAAAGAATCACACATAAGACAGAAACCAAGCTTGTTTAAAGGTAAATGTATTTTTAATGTCACCATTAATCATTGGCTTTTAATTGGAAAAAGATTTCTAATGAGGTATTTCTGAAATGCCAGTAGTAGTACAGAAAATTTATGTTCCAGGGTACTTTACAACGCAGAGCACAAAATATTCCCTAGGCCTAATTTAAGTAGCAAAAGTACCTTAATTTCCAGTGAGCTTAATAGATACGTTAGTCACTGACTCCCCCACAGTGTCTGTTTAGTTTGCAAATAAAGCTAGGTTTATGCAGCTCTTCTTTTGCTTACACTACTAATGCTAACAACACACGCAAGTGTTAAACACAAAGCACTAAGCAAT